CGTTCTTAATTAGTACTCCAAAGGGGTCCGCTCCCGGGTTTCACTGGGTGGGAACAGGTTAGGGATAAAGACGTCAACCGCTTCGCCGCACCCACTGGACGGGCACGGGGACGGCGCCCAGTTCGGAGCACGCCGGCTGATTTTCATATTTTCACTGAGCTGTACAATACTGTAAATGATAGATTAAAAGAATTCTAAAAAAAAAAATAATAATACCTTTTTTTGCAAGCTAACCAGGTGTCGGCAATGTCTCTGGGGATGCCTGGTGTTTGTAAAGGGGCAGAAAAAATAATTATAAAGTAAAATCCTGCAGTTGGGGCGGGGTGGGTAGAGAGACACGGCTGGGAAAGTGCTGGGGAGCGTGTTTTGGGGTGGGGGGAGAAAGGGCAATTTTGCACCCCCGGCTCGGGAGCTTCACGGGAGCTGGCCGTGGGGTTCCAGCACGGCTGGGCTCGCTGCAGCCGGCCCGGAGAGGGCGCCGGGGGCTGCTCCCACACACCCCAGCAGAGTGTGTTTTTGGTCCCGGAGCGGAGCCCCGCGCTGATGTGACCTGTGGTGACAACGTTTGCTGGCAGCCCGGGGAAACGCAGCATCCTCCGGGTGCTGCCCCAAGGAGCAAAGGGACCGAGCCAGGCCCCCCCCAGCGCCCGCCTCCCAGGTAAACTCGTTAATTCCCCATTAAATGATAACGCCGAAGAGCCCGGGTACTAGGGAGAGCTTCGTCATTTATAAAGTAATGCTGCCAACTCATGCAGTGAAGCAGGGGGGCAAGGCTGGGGAGGGGGCCAGGTTTAAAACCAGGTTCACGGGGAAGCAAGCCTTGACCACCTCCTCCCAACTAACACCTTACTGCTGCCAAAGCATAACCATGCCCATTCCCCTCTTCACACGCTTCCCAGGCAGCAAACCACCAGCATTAATATCGTAACGCTGACCTCGGGGGCTGGCTTTGCGCTTCCCACCGCCTCCCGCTCCACCCGAGGATGGAAAGCACGTTGGAGAAGAGCTGCAGATGCCCCAGTGGGATGAACCCCCCACCATCCAGGCCCTAAAGATGGGGGGGGGGGGCTTTTGGGATTGGGATCGCAATGCACAGGGCTGTGCATCCCCATTTATTTGGTATAACAGGGTGGAAATGTTGTTAAAGGAAAACAGGGCTCATATTAGCGCTTTTTCCCCCCAGTCCTTAGCTAAGAGATGTCCTAGATCAGTCCTTAACAGAGCGAGGAGCGGAGGGGCTGCTGGTGGCGGAGCGCACGTGGCCCGGCGTGCACCGCGTACATTTTGGCCCCTCAAATAGCTATCGGGGTGTCGCCTTTCCCATTTTGGCCTCGGCAGGTAGGTTTGCGCACATTCATGCAACACCGTGAACAGAAGCCCCGGACCTTGCCCCAGGGCCCTGCGCACCGCGGGGAGCTTCTGCGGGACCCGGGGGGGGGGAAATGCTGAACTGTAAAGGGTGGTGAAGATGAAGCCCGGTTTGGGTTGGATCCTGGGCACAGAGGTGCGGGAAGGAAGCTCGTCCACAGCCGAAACCATCCTCCTCCTCACCCCATGCCTTCCCTTCTCCATCCCAGCAGCAACCACCCCTTTTTCCTCTCCCAGGGCAGAGAGACAGCGCCCAGCTGCCGTGAACACGCCAAGACAGCGGAGCCCCTAAGGTGGCAACATCAACATTTATTTGAAAAGGGCATGAAGACGGTGCATTTGAAAATAGCGAGGGCTTCTTGGCCCTTTTTAACAACCCGTTTCCCCCCCCTGCCCTCGGCTACGCACCCGAACGCCACAGTGCTCCGAAATGCAGAGATGGAAACGCACACATGCACCTAAACTGCCGACTTTATAGAAATATACTTTGTCATCTATACGTACACAAGTATCTAAACTAAACGCGATGTACAAACAGGTCACTTACACCGTTTGTGTGTCTGGGGGGGCACATTTACAGGTGGAGTTTGGGTCCCAAAATGCGGAGGGGCCGTGGTGAGACATGCGGGGGGATGCAGCCAGCTGGGAGGTGACGGCCCCAGCCCCGCTGCCAGCTCCCATGGAGCGGAGCAAGGGAAAAGCGTTGGGACCGGGGGCTGCTCCCGGGAGTGGAGGTCAGGGGTATTTTCTGCCCCAAAAGGGATGATGGGCACCCCAAGATGTGCTCCGTGGCGTCCCCGTGGCTCCTCTCCTTCAGCACACGCAAACTTGTGCTCATCTTCCCACCTTCTTTGTGGTTTTGAAGAGTTTTGGATGTGTTTTCCCACGGACACACAATTTGGGGGTTAATTGCTTTGCCTACCGCGTTTTGTTAAAAATTTTAGTGCCTTTCATTAGAACAGCCACGGGAGCAAACCCTCCTTTCCCGAGCAGCCCGCTTTGCGTTCCCGCTGCCGACCCCAAAACCTGCCCCAGCCAAAACTCAGGCTTCAGCAGGACCAGGCGTAACCCGGGGAGCTAAAAAGGCTTGGGGACAGGGGATGGAGACACATGGGGACACTGAGGAGAGGCAGCAGCAAGGGGAGAGCCTCGGGCACCGGGCAGGGCTGGGACAGGCAGAGCCACGCCGCGAGCGGGACAGCTCCGTGATCCAGCCCAGGGACCGAAATAAACCCTTGTTTTTCCTGTCCTCTTAAGCTAGATCATTTCCTAAAGCCCGGATTACAGCATGACCACACAAACAAGCGGTGACCTCGAGGCAATCGCAAACTGTATCCGCCACTGAGGAGGAAAAAATGGTAATGTGTAATTACAGCTTAAAATAACTGCCTGGAGATCTGCAGCGAGAGGTGGCAGAGAAATGGGTCGTGGCTGAAGCAACCCAGCGGGGCACGGGCAGAGCCGGCGCGACCGCCGCGCGGCTGCGTGTGCCTGCGGTCTGTCCCTCCGTGACGTGCAGAAGCAGCTCCCACGTCTCCAGCTTTAGACCCTGCTGTGTCTCTTCGCGCAGCGAAGACAGAAGCGGCGTGTCCGGCCGGAGGGGAAGGGGCTGCCCGAGCTCACGGGAGAGACCCCCAGGGACCCCCAGGCTGCTCGGAGGGCGGCGGTGGGGAAGCTGCAGGCAGTGCCCGTCCGACTGCGAGTGCGCCCAAGCTCGCCTTAAGAACAGCCTTAGCGCACCGACACTTGAAAGGCATTTGGGAGCAAGAGAGACCCTGTGAACGACTGAATATCCCCAAGCGACCTTTCCTCCCCATCCCTACCGTCTTCACCTTGCAGTTGTGGTTTGGTAGGACCCAGAACTTTCTACCGCGTCTGTCTAAAGCAAAACCCTCGATAGCCTCATCTACCCCCAGCCCAAATCCAGTTTTATCCTATTGCACAAGAAGAGGCGCCATCCACGGCCTGCCAGGTGCAGGGTCTGCAGGGTGGACCCTGTAAAACACCTTATCGTCGCTATTTCCTACAGCACTGGGGTTTCTTTGGGGTTACAGCTCAGTTGATTTAAGATTGGACTTTGTCAAAGTGATTCTGCTAAAAAAAAAGTAAAATAATTCTTTCTTCGAGACAGGAACCCCAAAACTGTGAAAACCCAACCCAAAAATATGAAAAGAGTGGGTTAATGTGTTAATATTCCCCAGCACGATGGTTGCTCGTGCCTCACGTCACTGCTCCAGGCATCCCACTGCATGCCCACGTGCGCTGCCTGTGGGCTCAGTCGCAGCAGCCCCCCGCGAGCAGCCCGCTCACGACCCAGGCGAGAGGCACGGCTCTTGTGGGTTTTCCCCCCCCAAAAAAGTGGGTTTTCCCAAAGAAATCGTGTTTTCAAGTGACCTGGAACCAGCCAGGCTGCTGTGTGCCCCCGCGCTGGGATGGGACGATTGCCACCCTCAGGCTGCACCGGGCAAGCCCTCCATGCAGGGCATCAGGGCAGCTTGAAGCGCCCAGGGGAACGAGCCACGTGCCGAGGGGGCTACGGGAAGATGCAGGCTCACAGGCCGGGAGTGGGACGCGGGGACCGTACCCCCCTCCAGCAACCTGCCTCAAGCACCAGCTCGATTTGGTTATGCCGCTGCCCCAGGCTCCAGCACGCCGCACCCCAGACCCCCCTCCTGCCTTTTACAGCCTCACACCCTCCAGCTTCAGCCCTGCCCCTTGCCGGGGGCTCTCAACGTGGCCGACAAACGATGCGGGGAGGGATTCCCCAGGGAACGGGTTTGCTTTATGCCGGGAAGATGTACATGCCCAACGTGCTCTGCCCGGAGGCCAGAGCATTTCCTCTCCCCTTCCTGAAAAACGGAACTGGAGAGGGAGGTCAGAGCAACTACCCGCCTCCCCGCACCGCTGTGCCCCGAGCCTCCTCGCACCACCAACCGCAAAACGTGGCTGCAGAGGCAGAGAGTCACAAAGTAAAGTACGGGAGACGGGTTTGTGGTGCCAACGAATCTTGGGGTGGCCTCGGTGTCCGTGTCCCCACCCGTCCTGCACAAGGATGTGCTCCCCGCAGGGTCAGCAGTCTCTCCCCAAGAGGTCCCTTGGTGCGAGCTGTGCAGCGGTGGCTCTGCCCTACCAGCACGGCCGCCCTCAGTACACGCACAGGTCTGGGAACTTCATCTCGTACACCGGGATGGAGTGGTTTTGGGGCTGGCCGTAGGCAGCTGTGATGGTGCCGGAGGGGCTTGGCGGTGGCCTGAAACACAAGAGATGGAAGGAGGCGGTTTACAGAGAGGTTTGGTGAGGAAGCAAAGCCTGGTGCAGAAAACATGCATTCCTGCACCGTTGCAGGTCTCCCCAGTGCCACCATAGCAGAGGAGAACTGGGGCAAACAAACCAGAGGCTGCTCCCAGCAATGCTTGTCCCCTCTTGCCATCGCAAAGGCCCCAACCCCAGGCTGGCACCCACCCCCAGCGCACGAACCTCCTTGACGGGGGAACGCATGTGGCTCCCATTGCCCCAAAGCCAGCGCTGGCCTTGTGGTCAGGCACCCCACGCTCCGGCAGCAGGTTTTCGGGTGGCTTGACAAACTGTGCTTGGCTGTGGCCCCAACTCACCGTATGGTGATCTCGAAGATCTGGTTGAGCTTGCTCTGCAGCAGCGTCGCCTGTAACACAGACACAGCGGCTGTATTAGCGCGGCTGCGCCCTGAGGACCACAACAGTACAAATGGGACAAACACCCTCTTGGCCTTCCCCGGTCACCAGAGCAGGGGGAGGGTGGCCTGGCAAAATTCAGAGCCACGTCGTCACCGTCCGCCTCCCCCCAGCAGAGCGGCCACGGGGATTTAGAGCGCCACAGCCCCGACTCACCCGGGCACCGCAGTGGGCAGCGATCTCCTCGAACGGGGCTTTCTGAAATTTCTCCACCACTTGCCGCCTCCGCTCTCGTTCCTGCTCCTCCACGGCGACGCTGTCTACTGAAGCAGAGGGGAGATGGCTCTCAGCTGCTCCCCACCCGCAGAGACCACCCCGCGCTGCATCCCCCACCTCCCCAGGAGACAGCATGGATTTGGGCATCACTAGAAAGCCAAGGAGAAGGTCTCCAGCCTCTGGCTTTGGGACCAGCCCCCCAGGGACACCCCCAGGGCCAGGCAGAGCTATGAAGCTGCCCGGCCACCCTGTGACTTGAGTGCAATGCCGCTACGGCGAGGCGCTGGGGATCCATCCATCTGTGGTGTGCACACACAGACACAGGGGCGACAGTACCCATACATACACACCACGCCAGCCTCCACCTCTCCCTACCATGGCCGGCTCCCTCGCTTACCTATCGCCTTCTTCAGCGTCTCGTACGTGATCTCTTCCGCTGGTGCTCTCTAAAGGAAAGGGAAAAGCAGAGGAGGCTCAACGCACAGCACAGGACACCGTTCTGGGATCACAGCAACCCAGAGCCGGTGTCCCAGACTGTATTCTTGCACCAAAACATAGTCTGTCCTTAAAGATCAGGGATATCTTTCCTGGCAACCTGCACTTTTAAAATGTTTTTTTTTCAGGCTGGACTAGCCAGGCCTTATACCTCACCCAAGGCTCCCATTGCTAAGAAATACGCATACAGGGAAAATAAAGATTTGCCACCCAAACGGCACCGGGAGACCCCTCCTGCCGCGTGGCTCCCCTTGCAGGCTGGGACCTGTCAGCACCTGGAGGGGAGCATCAGGGGGAGTCGGGGTCTTTCTGACCCCGCTCACCGCCAGACACACCGGGGCTGTTATGGGCCCCTGCGCTTGCAGCCAGCGGAGCAATTATGCGTGCAGCCAAATTAACGATTAAAGAGGGCTTAGCTGCACGCTGTCAGGCTGCTAAAAGCACGCGGCGCGGAAGGGATGACACAGCCTCTGCAGCTCTGGTGTAAGACAGTACCTGCTCTCGCTCAGGACTGTTTCTCGACTCCACCTCAACCTGCAGGGAAATGGTCTCGCCTATGCTCTTCCTCTTGGACAAGCGATCTTCGTCTGGGGAGGAAGAGAAAGGGCAGAAGGGCTAATCGCAGCCACCCCGGGGGCAGCGGGGTGAGCACAGGCAGCTCCCAGGGAACATGGCCTCGCGTCCCATCCCCAGGGTAGCAGCCCCTCTGCTCAGCCATTCACCCAAATTCATCCAACCCAGCAGGACTGAGGACTGAGCCAAGCCCAGCGGGCTTCATTGCTCCTTCCAGCCAGCCAGCCAGCCATGCACGTGGCAACCCTGTGAAGCTTCCGAGTCACCGCTTTCTGCCTCAGTTTCCCCAAGGCTACATCTCTAAAGGAGGGCAGGAAAAGAACGCACCCACGCATAGCACAAGAACTTCACACCCCCGTAACTGTGCAGAGTGAGGGACCAGTTCCCTCCCCTCCCAGTTCTCCGGGATGCCCCAGGGTGCTGCGTACCCGTCAGCTGGGGGATGTAGGGTGTGCTGAGCCGGTCCGAGTTGTAGCCGCTGCCGCCCAGCACCTCGCTGATCTTGCTCTGCCAGAAGAAGACCTCTGGGCCCAGGCGGTCAAGGCTCTTGCTCAACCTATGGGGGTGGAGAAAAAACAACGGAGATGTCAGCGTCTCTCCTGCCAGGGGAACCGTGTCAGCAGGGTTTCCCGTCCCTTTGCGTCAGAAACAGAACGCTCTCGTGGCTTTGCTTAGCTGCAGCACAGCCGGATACATCACGCTATTTCTGCACACACCGGCACAAAGCCAGAGTCCCAGAAGAGCTCTTGACCCATCACAAAGGATACGGATGCGCTCAGGAAGGACCGCCCTGACCTAGGGAATGTCTCAAGAGAGCAGTGGCACTCACTGAGGGCAGCGTCTCCGTTAAGGGACCTCACCACCAAATGTGACCCATGCCGAGTGTGCCAACAGGAATGGGACAGCCCAGCCAGCCTTGGCCTGGGGATGCTCAGCACGCAGCAGGCATCCTCGAGCCAGTGGCACGGCAGAGCAGCGGGATGACATACCAGATCTACACCCATCCTGCTGTCAGACAAGGGGAGGGATCAGCCTGCAGAGCCGATCCCGGCATTTGGCTGGCTGTGAGCGCAAGCCGTGGTGGCCACCCCCTTCCCTGGCTGCATGGGACCCTCCTCGGATTCTAAACAGGTTGAAAACCACTTGATACCCTTCCCACTGTGCCATCCCCAGATGGGAAAGGAGACAAGCACAGGCAAGCGAAGGGCTGATAAACCCATTATCGCTCACGATCTTATGGATGCCAATCCCTCAGGAGCAGGGAGTGGGGAAGAAGGTATTTTCCAGGCTCTTACCTGGGTCTCTCCACAAACACATCTTCAGGGAGCAGATAGGGAGCTTCCTTCTGTCGCATCTGGATGACCTGCAGAAGACAAGCAAGGAGCCAAGCTCAAACCCCATGGGTGGCCAGGAGAGCTGATGCCAGAGCTTCCGCAGATAAGGCTCCAGCCCTGGCCCCAGACCCTCCCTCGCACCTCGTGGATGTGCTGGCAGAAGGTGGGCACGGTGGTGAGCTGGCTGATGAGGTTCAGGTAAGCTGCACCGAGGGCGAAGAGCGCGCAGCGGTTGTACGCCGTCAAGTTATCCTCGTTGATCTGGGCTATCTCCTGCAACAGAGACACAGCCCCATGAGACGAGGGTGGACAAGGCCCCAGCGTGGTCTCCATCCACCTCGTGGCATGACCTGCCCTCCAAACATCCCAGCTTTTGGAGCTTGGGTTTGCAGCACTTCAGAGGCTGACCAGGCGACTGGGGTCTCTCCCCAGCGTGTTGGTCTGATCCCACTCCGGTGGGAGAAGCTCAGAGCAAGTGAAGCACTTGCATCCCCCTTCCTCAGAGACCCCAACTCCAAAACAACCCCCCTCCCAGAGGCTCCTTCCCATCGCATCTCAGCCCGCACACCCAGCTCCCCCCCCGCCTACCTGCACTGCCAGCACCAGGCGGATGAGGTCCACCACGACCTCCTCATTAGCCAACTCGATGCTGATGAGCATCAGCATGCTGTAGAGAGCCTCATAGTGAGCCTGCACGTTGCTCTCCTCCTTACATATCAGGTAGATGTGCCGGTAGAGCTGCTGGCCATGCTGTGGGGACACGGAAGGACGTGGTCACCTCCTGAGCATCCCCTGCGAGCAACGCTGCCGTCAACGCAGAGAAAGAAAAGCAGCAGGGCCCAGCAAAGGGGCCTCCATCCACGCAGGGGGGAGCAGAGCTCCTCCGGTCACCAAGCAAACGAAGAAAGCCCCAGGGAGAGGGAGCTGTGACGATCAGGTGGCGTTTCACCATTCGATGCTGGACCCTGACGGGGAAGAGGCACCGGCAGGTCCAAGAGCAGAGCCCAGGGGCAGGCAAACAACACTCGCAGCACCGAGCCCAGGGAAAGGACGCCTCCGTTGCAGAAGCATTATAGAAATCACGGCTCAGACCACAACAAAGAAATAAAGCCCTGAGACACATTGCTCGACAGCGAGGCATGGGACAGAGCAGGGCACACGCTGGCGCAAGGGAAACACAGCTCTGCCGTGGTTGTCAGTTGAGGGGCTGCATGGCTGCTCCTTGGTGTGCGCAAGGTAATAAACTGATCCTCTCTTGGCCTCAAGTTAGCTCCAGAGGGCTTTGCACCACCCCCAAAAATGTTTTAAGGGGGGGGGAGGAGGGGATATAAAAATAAATAAATAATTAATTAATCAGGCAACTTCAAAAGCCACTTGATAAATAGTTTTTGGGATACCGCACATCCTGGGGTACTCATTCCTTCGGGCAAAGAGCAGATTTAGGAGCCTAGAGAGGCCCACGCATGAAGCGCTGATGGAGTCTGAATCCCACTGGCTTTTCCCAGGGACATCCCCAGGTTTAGAGGCATCACAGGACTCCCCCGTGGCTCAGTGTGACTTGGGGAAACAGACGCACAGTCCTTACACCGGTCTGCACGAGGACAGCTTGACCCAGACCCCACCATTACCTTCTTCATGAAGACAGTATCCTGGCGCGAGCATTTGTCCACTTTCAGCTTCAGGACCGAGATGTCACTGATGGTGCTGCAAGGAAAGGCCAAGGAGAAGGGAAACCTCAGACACCGGAGGGAGGAGGCACGGTTCCCACACGCCTGCAGAGCTGCTGGCCAGGAACGAGCCGTCTGGGAGGAACCGAGGGGGGAAGCTAAAGGTGGCTTTTAAATCTGAGCGATTCAGATATTCAAGAGTACTGAGCCAAATCACTACAGGATTTCAAGGCCGTGGCGCTCAGGAACACAAAAGCAAGTTGACAAAGAGGCGTGCAAGCAAAGTGGATTAGCAGGACCACAGCAAAACCCATGGAGATGTTTCCATCTAGGATTACAGTCACCTTCTTCCAAGGTAACACAGCATGGACAACGCGAGTGCCCGGCAGGCCTATCCATGGGGATGCAATGCAGTCGATGAACCCACTGGAGGAGGTTATGGCTCCTGCGCATCCTCCTGGGACCACTGTCTAACCACGGTTACTTTCAGCAGCATGGTCCCACGTCCCTCCGGGCACAGCCTCTCAGAGAGACTCCCCCACCCATCTGGCTCTTAGCAGACCATCGATCTGCAGCATTAAACCACCCCAGAACTTCTACCAGATTTATTATTTAATCCTTCCAGCAGCCCCCAATCCTGCAGGCACTCCCAGCCTGGCAAATCTCCCCTCCCAAGCCAGCTCTGCAGGGTCTGCAGGTCCCAGCCCTGTTGGGGAACCCCCAGGACATACCTGATGGTGGAGAATTTCTGTCGGTTCCCATGGCGATCGATGAAGCTGATGAGGATCTCGAGGACAAAGAGGCGGATCTCGGCATCCTCCATGAGGGCTGCGGAGAGCAGCCTGTCCAGGAAGGCGCTGGGCAGTGCCGTGAGCATGTTACTGCACTGGAAGCCCACAGAAACCTGCAAGCATCAAAGAAAAAGGGAGGCATCATGACAGTGTCACTTGAGAGGGGTTAAAACACACCGAGAAAGAGGGGATGCAGGCAGAGAAGACTAAGTACAGTTTGAGCTCTTCCTAAACCACCCCAGGGGAGAGGGTCTCCAAGCTCAGTTCCCCCATGCCAGCAGCTGGGGACCTCCCAGGTCTCGTGGAGGTTGGATGCTCCTGCGGGGATGGCGACACAACTCATACCTGGAGGAGGGACTTCAGGAGCATTATCTGTGTCAGCCGATTCCGGTTCTCCCTGCCGTGGAGAGAAGAAACAAGTGCTAAAATCTGAGTGAAAACAAAACAACCCTCCTTCCACACCCGAAGGATGGAAAAGCCTCAGAAAGGGCAGGACCGGTTTCCTGAGAGTCACCACCACATACAGCCACGCTGTAAAGGTCTCCAGCAAATGAGCTCCAGATTTAGCAGCCAGCAAAAAGGCTGCTAAAGGAACGGTGACTATCAAAGCATACATCCCACCAAAGGCACCAGAAACAAGGCAGCACTCACACCTCCAGGCAGGCGCAAGCTGCGCTCAGGACCCTCTGAAATGAACCACCCTCTGGACGTGCCCATCCCACAGTGACTCTCAAGGGACACCAGGCACCAGCTCTGAACAGGCTCCTCACTTTTAAGCAGCTGAAAATGGGCGAGAAGAAGCCCAAGCCCTCCTGTCCGCGAAGGTACCCTTGCTCCTCACTCCCATCTCACTCCCTGCAAAGCCACCATGAACCACACTTCCACTTCAGCGATGTGAGGGGGGGTTTTATGCAAAAAAGGAAATCTTGAATTCTCTACTGTCTGAACTCAGTCTTTCCTAGCCCTGTACTGGAAGGGGACACAGGGATTTCCAGGCTGTCCCATCACCCATGACACGCTGCCTGTGCTGCCTACCTCTGCCCAGGGACTGAGCTACACCGCAAATGGCAGCATCCCCATAAGCCAAACCGCAGGCCGCAGCTCCTCTGCAAACTCCTGGTTCACCTACGCACCCAGAGCGAGCACCATCCTTCACGCAGCGTCAGATGGGATTTTAAAACTCTCCCGGAGGAAGCTCATGAGCTGATAAAGGAGCAGTGACAAACAGCCTGGCACAGCCAGCCTAGCGCTGAGAAGTGACTGCCATCCTGGGGCTACGAGCCCGATTCTGCTCCTGCAGCAAGGAAAGCTGCCCTGGCTGAACGGCACCCAGCACCCAGCGTGCCTCCCACCGTGTGAATTGGGATTGAACGCAGGCGTCAGGAATTACCTCCATGTGAGCGAGGAGCAGAGCGTGTCTCCTATCAGCCGGCAAAGTCTCTCTCCCATCAGAGACGAGTGGGAAGAGCCTGACCGTACTTTGAAGATAAATATAGCATGAAAATCTGTTTGCTCCTTACCTACATGTTTCAGCGCTGATACCCTCGCTCCAAATAGCTCTCATGGTCTGTTCCCACACTTCTTAAGCAATTATGTTGTTTGGGTGTTTTCCCTTCCTTCTCGTCCTCCACCGCCGGGTATAAATACCACCTCCCGCTCAGTGTTAATAAAAGCTCAGAGGCAGCTCAGAGGGGCCACGCGCCAGCGGGGGGGGGAGGCAGCAATGAGCAGCCAGTCCCACCAAACCCTACACGCCCTCCACCGCCGGGTATAAATACCACCTCCCGCTCAGTGTTAATAAAAGCTCAGAGGCAGCTCAGAGGGGCCACGCGCCAGCGGGGGGGGGGGGGGGAATTGACCAGCCAGTCCCACGAAGCCATACACGAGCTTCTCAAAAGCCACAGGCAGCCCTCGCTCACCAGCGGCCACCTCGCTGCCCTGAGACATCCCAGGTCACTCCCCTGAGTATTAATTTTAGTTCCTGGCTACTTTTGGATGACACCCCAGGACCGAGCTCCTGACAGCTGAATCTCTCAGCAGGTACCCGAAGAAATGCGGAGTTCAACTGCAGCACCGCTGCCTGTAAACACCTTTCCTCCTCGATGCGCCGGTGTTTCAAGGAGCCCTTGTCATCACATTTGCAGCAGACAGCAAAGCATTTTAAACAAGGATCGCACGTTGCTCAGCTTCCCTTGCTCTTCGGTGGAAGCTCTCGATGCTCAGCCTTTCCAATAATGTGCCCACGGCCCACTCTGTCCCCAAAGGTCACCTCAAGGCGGGAACGGTTTCGGGAGCTTCCCAGCACTTTCAGCTCCGTGTCCAAAGCGTTACACCCACACACACGGGACAGCGGCAGGGAGAACAGGGTAGGGGGGGAGCAAGAGGAGGGAAGAAGGCATCCGTTCTCACCCGGCTTTGCCAGCCTCGATGGACTGCTGCAAGGAGGGTAGCGGCACCTTGTTCATGATGAAGACCATCACCTCAGACTGCTGGTAGGTGGGCAGCGTGCTGGCGAAGGACCCTGCGGAGACAAAAGTGCGCTGGCAGCGTGCGAGGCGCAGCCCACCGCCCCCAGAAGTGCCCAGTGCCGTGGGGTCTGCCCGCTGCGCCGCTCCAAGCCAGCTGCCGGACCCCCATAGCCAGGCTGGGATAGGACAAGGCCCACCTGGATCCAGTACCCGCAGGCAGCTTTACCTTCAGGGTGATTCAAGACCCATCAAAACACCTCCCAGGCAGGGCAGCCCCCAGCCCAGGCAGGGTGAGGCTGAGAGATGCCAAGCCCTGCTTCTACCCCTTCCTTCTTTTTGCGGCTGGTGCATCCCCATCCTCAGCGGCTGCAGCAGGCTCACACCCGCCCTCTTTCTGTCCTCCCCTTCCTCGGGGTCTCCCACCCAGGGAGAAACACGACTCTGCCTGCGCACAGCAGCTCTGCCGGGGATGGCTGGGGTTGCAATGCCACCTGCCGATAACCCGCCACCACGCTTGCAGCGCGCCGCAACAGATAAATTTCATTCCCCATCGCTGCTTTTAGGATGAGGGCGACTTTGTTTCGCCCTGGATAATCCCGCAGACGCACAAGGCAGACACCCACGGCGCAGGGGGCTACCCGCCAGCACAGCCCGCACCTGCGCCGGGCACGGCGGGACACCCCACCTATGGTTTTAATGACGGCCTCCTGGAACATCCTCTCCTCGTGCTCCTTGATGATCTTGGTGCTGACGCCGGCAACGCAGTCGTAGCTCCCCGTCAGCGCGTAGTCAATGCTGAGCCGCAGCTGCCTCAGCAGGGTGTTAAACACCTCCAGCACCGTGGGGCCTGGGGTGGCGAGACGGGAGAGACGGTGGAGCATCGCCGGAGGAGAGCGGCAGTTTTCCCCGTGGAGATGGAGGCTGTAGTTTCCCCCCAGGTCAGTGTGGTTTATACCTCCCACCACCCCGTGAACAGGTTGAACAAACAGTTTGGCCAGACACACAGTGACTTTTAACCCCCACCAACTCCCCCAGTCGAGACAGGAGAGAAATGTCCTTCCAGGAGCACCGTCAGCTCAGCGTATTCACAGCAAGCCCCTGAAAATCCCTTTCCCCCCTGCCACGAAGGCAAAGGCATGCATTGCATTCAGCCCTCCAGGTGTAGGTCGCTGCACGTGGGCATAGCTGTTGAGCTCGGGAGCACTGAAATGGCACAGAACGGATCCCCAGCACCCCTGGATGCTCCAGACCAGATCCCCCGTCGCCAGCTCACACCTGGGCACACGCCAGAGGCCAGCCCAAACCTCCAGCACCTCTCCCACCCCAACAAAAGGGTGAAGAGATGGATGGAGAGGATAAATTTATCCACTTACCAACAGATCCGGAGGCTGCGATCACCGCTGCCTCCGAGAGGACCTCCACGATGCCCGCGCGCACGGTGGCCGCGCTCTTGCTATTGGCATCCAGGTGCCCCAGGAGCTGCTGGATCACGAGATGGGAGTGCTGTGGCTGGAAAGAGAGCATGAACATCAGCACGGGTGCTGCATGCATGAGGTGACAGCCTGTTTCTGTAACCCACACGGCTACCGAGGACAAATCCTGCACACGCACCCAGCTTGCACCGAGTCCCTGCCCGGCTCTTTCCAAGGCAGCTCCGGATGCAAAATGAGAGGGGGCACCTGGAGGAAGCCTGTTTTACATGACTGAGCAAGAGCTTGGAGCAATTTGCATGGGAAAAACAATCTAAAGAGCTGTACAGATCTAAGGAAATGGTGACAATTAAGCCTGGGGATTTCAGGGAGAAGGGATTTGATTTTTGCCAGGGTTTCCCAAACACATCTATACTTCAAAAGGGTCCTGCTGAGTTATTGTGACCTTACACTTCCAACATGCATTAACAGGATTTTATAAAATCTAGTGGCGCTGTAAAGGGTTTTTAATCCTGTGAACCGCCCAAAACAAGAAACGAGAGCACGGGGCGGAATCTGCTTTTCACTGTAAGAGTTCTCCAAGCAGAGCCATGGCTTGGCCGAGTCCAAAAGCGAAGCAAACTCCCAAAGGGGTGAAGTGGGGCAGCAGGTCTGGGACAGCCCCAGCAGAGTGGGAGCAGGGTGGGAAGGCAGCACCATGCCCAACAGCATGCAGGGACCCATCCGAACAGAGTTTCATTGAGATCCACATGGAAAAAGAAAGGACGGACCTTTTCCCATCACTCTGGGATTTACCTAAACTGCATTTCCATGGCCCCCAGCGAGAAGGGAAGAACCTGGCAGGGTCTGTCTCTGAGCATCCCCGTGTCTAAGGATGGGCTGCAGGCACCGTCATGACGCCCAGTTTGCCCGGAGCACGTTTCACTCCAGACAGCCCCTCTCCTTTTTGGCAGGGATGATTTACACAGCAGCGATCTGGAAAGAGGCAGCTTTCCATAGGAGCCCAACTGCTTCCTTTAGAGCGTTTCACAGCACGCCGCTAGTCCGTCTGATTCAGCAGGGCTTTGCTTTCCACTGAGAGGGAGGGAATCACTCCCGGGACTGAGACAGAAGCTCCGTGAGCAGCATCCTAAAACACGCGTGGCTGGCACGCAGCCAGGCTAACGCATGCCTGTCGGCCATCTCCCCGCACACCCGCCGGGCCCCCAGCTCACACTGCCGTACACCTGGACTGTGCCTGTCTCCAGCCCATTTTGGGGCACGCTTGGTGGCCGAGCTCATCGCGAGCGTTCGTACTCGGCACTGCCGGGATGCGGCAATGCAGCGGCGGCTCTGACTCAGCCCAGCCGTGGAGGCAGACGCGGGTGCTCCCAAGCGTGCACGTGCGTCCCCAACTGGTGCCGCCAGCCAGAGTCCCGCCGGCTCCCCACCTGGATCGAGTACATGATGATCCTGAAGCAGCAGGTGGCAAAGATCTTCGGCTCCCAGAGCGAGTGGTTATCCAGATGGCTGGGGAAGAGATGGAAATGGAGGGGAAAGTAACTGTCAGTCCCCCAAGCCCTGCAGGGGTGCAAAGCAGCACCAAGCACCAGGGATGGCCAGAAGCAGCAGGGAGCAAACGCTGCAGGCGAGGGCAGGGACACAAACTCCTCTCTGGGGTGACTCTTCTCAGCGACAGGTATCTATCCCACGCCATTTCCTCATTGCATCCAAAAATGAGAGCTCAGCCTGAAACCCAGTCCCCATCTCCAGTACTGTGCCGAGGGGAGCCAGAGGAGCCCATGCCTTCACCCCAGCTCTGGCCCGCATTGGCTGTTTCCCCGTGCCTCAGTTTCCCTTGTGCCAAAAATGAGGGATGCACGACTTACATGAGGACGGGTTTGATGGCGTTCTTGATGTTGCCGTACGCCGCTCGGCCCAGCAGCTCCCGCAGACACCTCTCCGCCAGCTCCGTAGGACTCTCCTTCTCCTTCTCGGTGGCTTGCAGCGGGGAGGGGGAGCGGCTGCGAAAGCAGAGGAGGGCGATGAGAGCAGCGCTGACTGTGCAGCAGCAGTGGGGGAGAAGAAGCACGGAGCCCGGCCAGGGAGGGTTGGAGCAAAACGGTCGTGGCATCTGCCCACACCCCGTGCTGCACAGGGCTGCGGGCTACCCCTCGCACAGCCCACAGCCACCCCGCGGCAGCCAAATGTCACCCTGCCAGGCAGACGGGGCAGCTCCATCCCCGCAGAGCCCAGTGATAAAGCGCTGCTGGAGTTGAGCCAGATCAGAGAGCAGCACGGGTGCACGGATTGCAGAGGAGGGGGACGTGCCAGGACGGCCCCGCTTGCAGTGCCAGGCTGTGCCAGGCAGCAGGGGCAGCCCCCGCGTCCCTGGGACCGGGAGGAGGATCCCGGTACTCAGTGTTGGAGGGGGAAGGATCTTACCGCTGACGATGCAGGACATAACGTCCTCCCAGGGTGGACACAGCCTCCCGGGGGAGGAAGAGCAAAGCAGTCACGGTTTGGCACAAGTCACCCTGAACATGCACACCCCAGAGGAGATCCAGCCCCTTTCTCCGCACTCGGGCTGTTTGGCATCACACAAACACCATGAATGCTTTTTCCACCTCGATGCTTCAGTTTACAAGAAAAAGGGAAAAGGCATCTGGCCAGAAGCCAACTTCCCAGGGCTGATACATCTCTCTCAACCTTCAAAAGGAAAATCCCAGGAGGAACTCATGCCTGCTTCTCTGCTCTGCGCTTCTCAGCTAAGCATCTCCCCTTCAAACACCCAGCTGGTGGCAAGCACGCAGCCGGCGGGGGGGTTACGCCGGAAGAACGGGGGGACAGCGAGCAAAAGCTGTATTTCAGTTCCTGAGATTCCTCTCGCCTGGCTTTAAAACAACTTCTTTGGTAGCATTTAAGCAGGAATCCCTCACAGAGGTCAACCCGCTGAACAGGCAGCTCAGAGCCTTTGCAAACAGCGTGCTTTAACTGCAGGGACAGCGCAGAGAGCTCTGCTCCACGGGAGTCACGGTGCCCTGCAGTGGCCAAGACAGCAATAACCTTCACGGCACCGGGTGACGGGCAGAGCTCCTGCCACCTGCGGCATCCTTCAACAGGGTCTCCCCTCTGGCCACTCGCCGCATTTTTCACGAGCTGCAGACACAAATCAGCCTGCAACGCTTCTGCCCTGCAAAACCTTGCCAAAAGCAGCCCCGGGGCCCCGAAGCCGCTGGTGGAGCAGGTGGGTCACGGCAGCAGCGAGCACTCACCTTTCGGCCTCCTCCACGTGCTGTAAGTTGAAGAGCAGCGAGGGCACGATTTTGTCCATGTGCTGTGGGTCCCAGATGTTGGCTTGGAGTTCATCGTTCACTGTCTTCCTCACCACTCCTTGCAGGCCTTTAATGCCGGACATCCGGATCCTGGGGAACAAATTGACACCAAAATGCTACATATCTATATAGCATACGTTATTTTACATTTACATACACATATACACACGGGTGAAACTGTGCAAGAAGTTGGAGAGAAGACACCGATTTCTGCGCTGCTGGAGGGGTTCATGCAGGCGATGCCCCGGTTCCAAGCTCCGGGCTTGGTATACCCCGGGGTAATCCTTCGGCCTCGTATCCCCGAGAGACATGGCTTCCTGCAGCCCGCCAGACGCGAGCGGGAAAGGCTCTGAACCAGCTAAAATCATCCTGGCAGCAGCAGCCAGCTCCCATCCACTGCCTATCCCAGGAGGCCCCCAGGCGAGCAGCAGCCACCCGTCTCCACGGCACGCGCTACCGGAGATGGAGAGGTGGCACCAGCGAGCTTGGCCTCTCCGAAGGATTGGTTTTGGACCTGGGAGGTCTCTGCTCTCCAGCTACTACATGCATGGAGGGTTTTCCCATTTCCCCCGTCCCCAGCAGCTGCAGAGCCGTGCTGTGCCCATGGGGATACTAGATGCTAGGGAAACCTAGGTGCTTTTTGACACCTGTGTCCTTTCTGGGACCAAAGATCCTGACTCTGCTCTAGTCAATGATAAAGTCATCAGTAAAAATCTCCCTACGCAGCAGGATTCCCAGGTCTGAAACCAGCCCCTCAACACCTACGGCTCATGCCCGAGAAAGGTAGCACGTACTTATCTGCAGAAGTAAATGCATTAAATAACCTGCTCTGAGGTCTCCCTAACACATTTTGCAGATCTAATCAAGGCAATAAGCCGACCGAGACACAGTTCTTGAGGGAGGAGCACTGAGCAGGACCAAGGCCCGAGGAAAACAGCGTGCTCCTTTTTAATTACAGGAGCTGCCGAATTTCTCTCTTCCAGTCTCCGGTGTAATTTAGCCAGCGTCACCGGTGCCCTGAAGGTCAAGTGGAAATAATGAGCCTTCTGCATTATTTCTTTATTAAGGGGGGGAAAAAAAAAAAAAACCCACCTGTGAGTCTGCAGCAGTAAAAGGAGGTGAGCCTGGTCCTCAGAGACAAGCCTCTGCTAGGAGTGGCGAACCTCAGGGGTTCGCCCCTCTGCAAGGCAACTGGTGCCTGGTACAGCAGCTCCGGGAACGGCACCAACACGATGTGCTGAAATGCCTCCTGACATCTGGGCTCTACTTAAAACTTGTCTCCGGCAGCAGTGGCCTCCTGCCCAGAGCTTCCCGGCGAGAGCCACCGGTGCCACGCCACCGGTGCCACGCCACCGGTGCCTCACCGGGCCATTTCAAGCGCCGGGTCTTTTTAAATACACCACCGTCAGGCCTGGCCTTGGCAGCAGTAAACAACATTAATCTGTCTGCTTTAGTCGTAATTAATCCCCCTGGGGTACGTTTCCCATCACAGCAAAGCACGTCAGTCCTCGATGCTAGAGAAATGTAACCGCCTTTAAACGTGGAAAATAACAGACCGCACGGCTGCAGGAGGCAGTTTTTGAGTGAACATTCACGCTGCTAAGAGTGGGGGGCCTCTTCCCATCATCATCGTCCTTCCTTTTGGGGCCAGGATCACTTCCTTGCCTCTGAGCTCCAGCTGTCTGCAGGCCGTGGCCCTGGAGCAAAGGTGAGAAATGCTTAAAGATGCACTGAGGCAGCCCTGTGACGGGCAGACTGTGGGCGTTACCTGCTCACATTTTGCCCGAAGAAAAGAAATCGGAAGCCTGAGGGCGCATTATGTTCCTTGTCCTGCCATCGGCCATGGTCAGAGCGAGCCGATGCCTGAGCACAGCTGGCCCTGCTCTCAGGACAGCAAATGCAAACCAACTTCTCTCACACACGTGTAATACTGCATGCAATATCCCACACAGCGACAGAGGCTGGATCTGTGCCGCGCTGTGTTTTCTAGGCTCCTGTTTCATCCTCCCATATAGTCAGCGGGGTTTAATGCTTGGAAAATAAGGGAGGGTAGAGAACAGCAGCCTGAGTGCAGCCAGCTCTGGGGAATCACTGTGCGTCTCCGTCACAGCACAAAGAAATCAATCCACGCGCAGCCTGCATCCAACCTGCCCCCAAAAGCAGGTGCTTCTCCAGGAAAGACAGAGGCTGGGGGCGCAGGGAAGCCCCCCCAGGAGGCATTCGCAGAGCCAGCGGGGCCAGGGACACCCTGCTCGCGGCACTCACTTCGTCCGGATGTCCAGGTCGTCGTGGCTGGAGTGGCACATCTCACTGAAGCGGGAGACAAAGAAGTCGTAGCTGCGGTGATAAGATGGGGTGTCCTCTTCGATGTTGGCAAACTTCACGAACTGGGAGAGAAGAAAGAGGGGGTCAGCCCAGAGGGCACGACAACAAAAATATTCTTAAAATTCCTCTCCAAACCAGCAAACATTTGTGGGCTTCAGCAGTGTAACACAGGGCTCTTCACTACAGCAGCTTGGCATGCGCTCGGGATGACAAGTCAGGCTGCCCGGCTGCACCCAGGACACAGGGTGCCCAAGCGGGAACGTGCCATCGTACCGTCCCACCGAGCTCCAGCAGCGCCCAGGCCCCGCTGCAGATGCTACAAACCTCACCACAAGCCCCAGTGGCCCCTGTAAAGGGCATTTAGAGGTGCCACGAGGCTCTGAGCTAGGGATCCCTAATATGCAGCACACACTAGTAACAGGAGATAAATTTGTCCCCAGCTTCCTTCCATCCTCCCAGACGGCACAAAACCTGGCGAACATTTCCCAAACGCTGCTGCAGGGATGAAAACAGCCTCGGAAATGCCAGTGGAGAAACCAACTGCAAGCAGGTTCTTAACCACATCCCAGATCTCGCCCGCAGCACCCGGCAGCATGAGGTCCCATCGCTCCCTTCCAGCTTGGCTGCGCCAGCAGGTGCGGAGCTTGCCAGAAATGCCAGCTGACCAACAGATCTGGCTTTCAAGCTTTCAGGGAGAGAATTAAGGAGGAAGAAAGGCTAAACATGTTTTCAAGCTTTCCTCTGAATTCTGAAACTTATTCATGAAAAGATGGGGAAAAAAGGGTCGGGCAGGAAGGGGGAACCTCAACTCATCCAGTCATGCTGACAGGGGTAGCTTTAAAAAAGGAAAAATAAAGAAAACCTCAATAGTACAAGAGCTGCCACAAAATCCAAGGCATCGGCTCCTGGCTGGAACATACAGAGCATTCAGCCTGTATCCACCCAACAGCGCCTGGTGCTGCGAATGGACGAGGTTTATCCTTGGCCTGGGACAAGCATCGTGCCACCAAGTCCCCGTTCTTTAACCTCCCACTCAGAGCAAGGGCGTAAGCAGCCGCTTGCCAAGATTTTAGGCAGGGGGAATCTGCTGGCTGCTTTTGTGCTCCCGTGCTGCACCTGCTTCAGCACGCTGGGAAAGCTTGAGGCCGTTTGCATGGGCTTGGGATGAAGGGAGAGGCAATCCTGTCCAAGCAATCCCCAAAACCACCCCAGCTGTTAACTGCTGCCCAACAGCACTGGGAGAGCAACGGTGCAGTGCCAATGCCGGTGCAGCCCCACTGCTTACGACAGCACGGCACGAAGCTCTGCGGTCGCACCCAGCAATCCCACATCACTCGGGCAAGGTGTCCTGGGCCAAGGCATCAGGATTGCTGGGTTCCTCTTCCAGCTGGGAGGACCTAACCCACCTCCAAAGGGTTACCCGTCCACCCGGCATTTCTTCGGGTGCTCAGCACCCTCTGGGGACGCCATGCTGCACGAGAGCTCCTTCTTTAACCCAACCCTACCCACAGGCTTTTCTCACTTCTTGCTTTCTGCATTTGCTGGCATCCAGCCCCGCCAGGAAAGCGGCAGGCAAACGGCCCACCGGTGCCCCTCCACAGCTGGCAAAGCCAGCCCGCCCGTCCCAGAGCACCACACAAGCCGCTGATTAGCATGCACCCACTGTGCCGGGCTATTAATAATGTCAGCTGCAAAGGCTGGCTCTGCGCAAGCAAAGGAGCCGGCTCAACCCTGCCAGGAACTGTTCCCAGAGTGCAGGGACTAGCTCCAACTGATAAACTCCTCTTACTCACCAGAAAAATGCAGGGCTGTTACATAAGAAACCTCTGTACCAGGCAGCTCACAAAGTGGGGTTTTTTTAAGCTCATGGCAACTCCACGTGCAACCGGAGGCAAGGGCAGGATGCAGAGTGAGGAGCAGTAACAAGGGCTCCCTACGGCAGCTCCGGGAGAGCCGTCCCAAGCGTCCCGTGGCCAAGAAGCGTCGTGAAATAAAGGAAGGAAATGGCTTCTCTGCAGCCAGTATCTGCAGGTATCAACCCCACGCCCACGCGGAGGACGGCAGCTCGTTTCGTGCCACCAGGCAACCAAACAGGACCACCTCACCAGCGCTCCTTATTCCGAAGCTATCAAGGCCCCGGGGATTGCCAGCCCGCCCATCTACGCCAGCAGTGCCCGTGGTTCAGCTCCCTGCCCCGAGGGCAGCTTCCCCGGCCGGCTGCCAGGCACAGCGAGCCCTGCTCGCCTCTGTCCTCGGGGGACAGACATCCCCCCACGGTGCCACTACGCCCGGTGACACTGGATGCGGCACAGCGTTCATATCTGCCAACAGCTGGAGGCAGCTGCCCCCTCTGCATCCATTTTCAGCCTGCAGCCTCTGGCAGGGCCAGAACTTGTAAAAAGCAGCCAAGAACAGAGAAAAATCAGCCTCGAAGCTTCCTTGCTCTGTCAACGGCACATTTTTAGGACTCTGCCACTTGCTCATAGACTGTTGCATTTTTCCAAGACTTGGCTGCCTCTACAAGGGTGCTGTACCATGCAGCAATTGCGGGAGATGCCCACCCTGGTCCCACTGCCCAGTGGCAAAAAGCAGCACCAGGACACATGGAAATGACCCAGCGAGAGCTGGGCCGGCAGGAAAAGAGGCATCAAACCTTCAGGGAAAGCGACTTATTTTCACTAACGGGCACCGCATCCCAGCCGAAAAGCTGCTCTGCAGCTTCATGCCGTATTTCCGCTGTGAAAACAGTTTAAAACATGGAAATGCAACACTATTTCTGCTGCGGTTCGAAGGGGTGCGGGGCTGGGCAGCTTAGGGCTCCCATGCTTGAAGCCGACAAGCTCCAACTGAAACACGGCTGGGACGAGCAGGGAGCAAGCGCAGGGGAAATGCGAGGAACACGGCTGCCTTGGAGAAGCAAAACAACGTCTGGGAAGGGATAACACTGCCACCTATAAATACATCAGACATAAATACATCAGAAGAGGAACATCAAGGTGGGGGAAGAGATGTTTAAATGAAAGATCAATGTTGGTTCGAAGAAAAATAAAACGGGAATGACATCGAGCTGGGAATTAGATGGTTCCTACCCAAAGCAGGGAGGTTGCCCAGAAGCCTCCTAATGAGGATGAGGAACCAAAGTGGATTTAAGCTGCAGCTCCATACGTTCATCCCGGGGATTATAGGATGGGGTTATAGTGATCATGGGATGCTGGATTTTCGCTGCGGGCTCCAGCGCTGCGGCCATGGAGCCCGGCAGGCTGGTCCCCGGGCTCAGCCCCTCCACAGCGCAACACCTTGGCTCTGCGCGAGGAGGGAGACGTGTCTCAGGCGAGATTTCATGCCGCGGAGAATGACTCACTTGGAGCAGGTTTCTATAAACAACCTCCTCCCGCCTTTGCCATCAGCTCCGTTATTGTGAAGATTGCTTGAGACAGCACCCTCTAATTAAGCACGAGCCTGAGGCACATTCTGCATTAGCAGATATGGGAAGAAGCGTCTCATTATCATTACTCACTTTTCTATAAAAGCCCACAAGTTTTGTGTGCTCTTTGCCCTCTGAATGCCGCCACGCTTGAGAAGGCCAAAAGAAAAAAAAAAAAAAATCACTAAATCATCATTCCTGATCTGGACTCCTCATTAAAACACCCGCTACTGATTCCTGACCGCAGTGACAGCAGCCCTAAGGAAACACCTATCCGTGGTCCAGGACCATCTCTCCTCTCCGTGGGTGCCTGAACACGGGAGGTTTGCTCCGCACGGGCAGGAAACACAAGGCAGGGCTCCGTCTTGCCTTGACCCAATGCCTCCTGCTTGAGGCCCCTGTGTTGGGGCCGGTTCGCTGAAGCCTCTGCCGTGGCATCGTGAGCCCCTGCCGTGAGGGCTGTCCCCTCCCCGGCTCCACGCCAGCAGCTCCCGTTGAGGTTCAGCTCCGTGCCACGTGCCGGTGGCCCCTCTGATGCAGGGCTCTGCTTGGGCACCATCCAAGGACCTGAGGGAGTGTCCAGAGAGCAGCACGGAGAGGGAGGTGCTGGCTGAGTTGAGCTTTAAACCCTACCTCTACCCCAGGTCCCTCTGGACCCTGGGACAAGCCCTGCATTTCCCAAACAGCTCAGGGGCTGGGCAAGGGCAACGAGGCTGGTGAAGGGTCTGGAGAACAAGTC